CCTGAATGATTACCACCACACATAAGAGTACATTAGCAAACATCAGGCTGTGCCAGCACGCTGTATATCTGCAGTCCCACCATACAGGGTGCACATTTCTCACTACAGTCACAGTCACACTAAAAATACTTGAATCTTATTTACATCTAAAATATCACACTTGAATATATGTATATAAATGCGCATATAAAGTCTCAACACACTCAAAGTTCATCATGTCTGAAAGCTCCAGTGGATGAGTAACACAATGACACAGGGATGCACAATCGTCTCCCTGCACCTCTGATCCTCTCTGGGTAATTGTTTTATTTTAAAGTGACGGCAGTCTTGCTTTGTCCACAAGTTTAATTCCTGCGTAATAATTTTTATTTCATCAGTTTTGGAACCACTGGTTTAGAGTATTTAGAGCGTAGTCTGAAATGTCCTGTATCGTCTGTACAGAAGATAAATCTTTACCAGTGGTAAGAATCCATAAACTGCTTGACAAAAGTATCAGATCAATAAAAGTCTTCAGTGCATATGCATGAGAAGTGCATCTGCTGAGGATCTAAGAATAGCAAAGCTGTCATTCCAGTTTTCATCCATATCTCAGTGTTGTTTTCTAGTGTGTAATGAACATTACAGCCTGGACTGCTAGCAAGTGGCAGACTTGTAGTTTTATTTCTGAAACAGTGTCTGAACTTTCAGTATCTGATTTCCTCGTTTCCACGGGGTTAGAAGACATAGTGACTAACAGCTGTTTCAGGGAACAGAAAACGTAAGACTTGCATTTGTCAGTGCACATTTTTATTCTTTTTGTAAGAAAATAAACTCCACCGTCACATTAAATTGACATTATGAATAGAAATAAAAAATAAAAAACTACAAATACATCGTATATCTTCATTGAAATTAATATAAGAATGTGTATTTTTCTTTCCTTAATAGCTCCCTAGTTGAACAGCTCAAGCTGTATTTTAGTGCACACAAGCTGTCCTTTCATATGTGGATAGAAGGCTTTTCTCCCTGGACACAAAAGAAAGAAATGTATTGTGTAACAGTAAGTTGGCTATAGGCTGCATGATGGCAAAAAGACAAAAAGATCCCTCTCTAACATCCTGGGATGAAATAATGTGTTGTAAAACACAACAGGCACTTCAGGGTAAACTCCAGGGTCTTTATGTGGATTTCAACACAAACCATCTGTGACTGACAGGAGGTTTGGTGCTCAGGGTGGGACTGTTGTTTATTCTGCCTCCCTAAAATCCTCAGTGAATTTAGTCACGGATGGGTTCTGCTGATCAAGTACTGAAAGTCATTTGCATTTTCATGCACTGAAAGTTTGCATCATCAGACAATGTTGTTCTCGCCTGCAGGTTGTCAAATTCTTTGTACGTAGCACACTTATTTTTTGTTGAAACGGAAAGAATAACAAAGATGTTTGTGAGAGCTAACTGGTGAAGTGAATCTTATCTAATCTAACACAGAAGGCTGCACATCTGTATGAAAGCAGAGCTGATACATCGGCATGGTGGATATTATTGGCTGATTTTAGCTTATCAGAGATTTATGAGCGTATATGTACTTCAGAAACTGTCACAATTACATAGGTTGAGAGCAAGTTTAAAATATCAAATGTCCTGCTCAGCTATTGAAACCCAAAATGTTTGATATTAAAATAAAAAAGATTTAAAAAAGATAAATGAATGAAAGATGATTAAGAGGCAGGGGACATGTGACTGGCTGAAATATGAGAGGGGCGGTGACACCACGGTCAGGAAAGGTGACACAATAAAGTGACGTGAAATAAAAGTGTAAAAGTTAAGTATTTTAATTTCTACATCATTACAGTAAGTCCCAGAAGCATCCCTTAGATACTCCAATACATCATTATACCAACTGGAGGATCCTTCATAAATAAAAGGCAGCATAAACTGAAAATACAGCAGTTTGTAGAACACCATCTCTATAATATTATCATCATCAGATTCTGTTTACAGGACAAAGAGTACAACTGTATATATGAAACAGTTGTATAAAAGGCTTTCATGTGTCCAGAGGGAGCAGCATGAAATATGATAAACTGCCTTCGCGTTCAGAAATGAAAATAAATCTGTGGTTGTTGAGTAAGTAAGTAAGTGAGACCCCTGTAGCCCACTCCCTATGTCTGTTTGAGGCTAGCATCTCGAAGCTACATTAGCCAGTGCTTGCATAACACACCTGAAATGCAGACTGAACTGTCAGCGGTCAATTTGCATTGTGGGTAATGCAGGCACACGAGGAATAATAATAAGCAATAGGTAATAAAAAAAAGATGATATCTTCTTTATAATTGTTTGTTGTGAGTCCGACGTACTCTTTTAATGTCAGCAGACAAAAATGATTCAGTGACCAGCTGCTGGAAGCTCGTGTTTGAACAGTCTGCTGACTCAGCAACAATAAAACAGACTATAACATAATGATGCAGCCTCTGAAGCCATAGTGTGTACCCCAGAGTCACAGCTCACTAAACTGCACTATGATTGCATGAGCAAGTGCAGCTTCTGTTGGATGATTTCAGAGTTCATGGTCCACAGGAACTCAGTCAGTCCTCCAGTGAGCATTTCCTCCATAGGAACAAACTGCAGCACCTGTCTGTCACTCTGAGGTGGCAGATGTTTACCCGAGTCCTCCTCTTCTCTTAAGTGACCCATGCAGTTATGGACTTGAGTAAGAACAGGGAGTATTCGTGCGGCAGCTTCAGGACAGAAGCCAACGCACACGAGCACTGTACCGACTACGCCTGAGGGGGGTGGACACCTGAACGTGACTGAGTGAAAACACACACGCAGGCAGAGCACAACAGCTGCTGTGACACGGGTGAGGGCAGAAAACACAGGCAGCAGCAGGGCATCCCCAGAGTTCAGGGTCTGCAGGGACAAGACAACACAACCTAAGAGCTGCTGCTGGTACAGCGGCTCACCGTCGTGCAGTGTGATGGAGCCTCTTTGAGGAAATGAAGGCTCTGCAGAAAATGTTATGACTAAATCCCCAAGATGGCTTTCACAGGCACCCCACACTGAGCTGCTGCCAAACACCAGACACTGCCTCTTCGTTTTGTTCCCATCGCCGTCGGTGGCGAACTGGCAAAAACCTGCAACATCGGACAAGATGGAGGCCGTGCAAACTGCGTGGCAAGACTCGCAGGGAGGTGTGTGAGTCCACTCTACCGCTGTGTCTGTCAGGGCTTCATTCAAGTGGTTTAACAATCCTCCATCACAGAACGGAGAGTTTCTGACTGCAGGCAGTGCGGCCCCTTCGATAACATACCATGAATCCACTTGACACCCGGACAGGGTACCTTCCAATATGCAGCCAGTCCCGCTGGTCTCAGTGCAGTGTCTCTGTATCCAGGTGGCATAGCAACCCCTGTTGATACGCTCCCTCCAGCTCAGGGTCTGCAATTCCCTCCGCTCATTGAAGGAGCCTGTTTGCTTCTTCTGTCCGAGAGGTCGGCCCGCTGAGACGCTGCAGCAGGCGGGACTCACCGTGTTACGAGAGATCCATCGACTCCGGGGAAGGAAACTCACCTATGACAGAAAACTTTATCAAGATCAATTTTTTTTTCTGAATCCAATGTTGGATTTTATATGAACACAAACATGTGTTATTTGTAGCTTCTAAAATGTTGCTTCTATTTGTCAGACTCAACAAACCTACTAAAAAATGCAACATTTCACTCAATCTAGAATAACTTTAAACAGTGTGACAAACGTTATCTGACGACTGGCTTAATTAAAGCTTCATGGTCTACAGACATCCTACCTGGAAGCGCTGCAGGTATTCCTGAGCCGCGCAGTCCCTGAGGTAGTCGAGACGCTGCCTCTGCTCTGTGCTCATTCCTTCAAACAGTCGCAGGTTTTCTTTGATCGTCTCCACCTGCAGCGTGTGGAAGTACGAGCACACCTCTTCATGCTGTTTCTGAAAGGACTCCGGGACAAGCGAGTTTGGGAAAAGGGCCTCTCGGTCAGCCAGATGTGGTCCGTAGTTACGGATCAGTTTTGAGAGCAGAGGCCTCACAGCTTCCTTGCCGTCATAGTTCAGACACACGACATAGACCTCAGAGTTGCCGGCCTTGCTGGTGGCAGGTTTAAAGACGTTGACGGAGTGGAAGCAGCAGTTCAGCAGGTAGAGTAAGCAGATGGAGGAGTGTTCATACAGCGTGAACATTTTCAGCACAAAGGAGCCACCGGGGCTCAGGAGCAGCAGCGCAGCTGTGACCTCGCAGTAATGCAGGGACGCCACCAGCGCCTCCTGCTCGTCCGGATTCTCCTGACAGTCAAAACTGCCATCTGCCGTCACCAGATCAACTCTACGCATGTTAGCCACAAACGCCTGCAGCTCCAGCAAATGCTTCTGGATCATGACGTTGCCTGTGTTATCTGAGCCAAAGAACCACCAGGGCAGCGTGTTCGCAATTAACCGATCATCTGCGATCGTGGTGCTCCCTCCGTTAGCCTCATGGTACGGGTTGAGAGTGTTGGCGGCCCAGGTCCAGTCACAGTAGCGTGTGGACTCGCTGGTTTTCATGTAGTGGTTCAAAGCGGTTATAAAGGCCCCTGGAGCTTCACACAGGTGGACCGTGTTCAGCTCTCCATTCTGAAGAGCCTCCAGTGGAAGAAGACTGAAGGTTCCCAGGATCTCAAAGAACTTGCACCAGGCCTGAGTGCAGATCTCCGCGTTGGCAGCAGAACGTACGGCATTGATCACCTTCCCGGCTCGATTGGTGGAGTTGGTGTGCTGATGCCAGACCTGGACGTTCTTGTCGCTGAGCTGGTTCTTTACGTCATTCAGCGACACTTTCAGGTCCTGCAGGCGGCGGTTCTCCTCCGCAGAGTCTCTGAGAGCAACGTTTGGGTCGGGGATGCGCCACTCCCCATTGGATGGTTTCACATAGGTTCTGACTTTACTAAAGAGACCTTGAATCTGAGTCTGTGTTTCAGGGTCAAATGCCACCATGTTGTTGAAATGCTGCAGCTTCCTGGATTTCCTCCTGGTCCCATTTCCTGAGCTCATCCTCTACACCTGTTGTAGTAGAGCAACACGAGGAGTTAGAAGTGTTCTGATTAAAAAACACATCTGCATTGTCCCCTTTCTGTTTTTATGTAATCCACCAGACTGTTCAGTGGTTATGTGACCTGCTTACACAGGCCCAGGTAGAGTCAGTCTTAAGAAAACAAATCTGCTAACAGCACATTTTCACAGTGAATTAAACAAGGCCAAGCTCATTTTTCTCTACATGCATGAGTGGTGTTGAGTTAGTAATGTTAACTCATTTTGATGCGGCGGCCTCGGGCAACAGGGCAGACTGTAAATACTGGCGACTACCTCACCAAGCCAGAGTGTTACCCGCTGAGAGATTTCCTACATCACTACTACAACGCACAGTCTCTTCAATTCACTGACCACTGGCGTATCTTAACATTTTCATATGACGACTACATGAGGGCCCAATTTAGACATACGTTAGAGATACGTGGCTTCACAAGACTGCAGTGTTGTGTTTGTTAACCGCAGTACGGCTGCCGCAGGAGTAGGGATAGATAGATATTTACATCCCAAATTACATTTTCACTGAAATAAAACGCGTGATGATGTGAACGTTTTTGGGGTCTGTACCAAACTGAACAAGATTTGTAGACCAGGGCATCTCTGCAGCACTACAGTACTTCATTACAAATGCTGTTTTGTCACACATTTTACCTTTATCAAAAAAAATGCAGCCTCTGCGATTTGTATATTGCACTTTGCCATATTGCAATTTCGGTAATATTCAGATTAATTGTGCAGCCTGCACTGGAGCATAGTCTTCAAAAGCTACATCCAGGTCACTCTGTGATGGCGCGACCCTTTACCAGGTCACCATGGTGCGCCAAAAATACGTTTTATTCATGTGATTATTGAACAATTTATAATTCATGACATAAAACATTATTTACAGTCAGAATCAAATTAACCCCAGTGCTAATCCTCTGCTCATGTGTACATGATTTAGATGACAACACTGGGAAGTAGAACGTATTTCTGGGTCATTTCTTGATTAGTCTGCAGTGACTCAGTGACGTAAGGCAATATATGGAATAAAGCTAATGCCAGCACATTCATCAATTATTCCTCATAAATCATCCTGTTAAGCACTGCTTGTGTTCTGTGTGTGTGTGTGTGTGTGTGTGTGAACGGTTCAGCCGCTGTTAACATAAAGTAGGAATAAAAAAAGATATTTAGCAAAGTGATAAAGAGACTTGAGATAAGTTATACATTGATTAATAAATAATTAGGTCTGAATTTATCATCTTAGATGTGCATATGAACAAATGAACATGTTACAGGCTTGAAAGCTACAGTGAAATCTGTGAGTTAAAATAGGTACCAGAACAATTAGCGACAGAAAACTCATTAAAAATTGAAATAATCAATTAATGGTTTTAAGTAATTTGCCAAATACTTTTTTATCTCTTGTGAGGAGAAATCAACATAAAGCTCTTGAAAGTTTATGGTCACATTAGCTGAAACGTTTATAAACACAGCAGAAGAAGCAATGCTTACCAATATGATTCATCAGCATCAGAATATACTGTGCCAAAAGTAAAAAATAGTCCTGCAGAACGGCCCATTTCACATTCATGTATGTAATATGTCTTTGATTATAACCAGTGATGGGTTAATGTCATACTGCCAATGGTTAATATGTAAGTAATGTTGCAGCTGGTAAAAGTGGAGTGAATTCCCACTTATATTATATATTAGCTCAATCCACAATAATACATCATCATTTATTAGTTCATTTGTGTTTTGTATTAATACTCTTCATCTGCAAATAGGGCTGCAGGATATGGTACAAACATTATATTGTGACTGATTACCATTAGTGGGAACTCTTGCGTCACAATTTTAATTTTCACTGAATAAAAGAAACTATTAATATCATGATCATGTGACATTTGTCGGGTCTGTACCAAACAAACAAGATGTGCAGGCCAGGGTGTCTCTGGAGTACCTCAGTGTCTCATATTAATGATGTTTGGACTCACTTTTATCAAATAACTGCAGCTTCTGTGATTTGGATATAGCACTTTAATAATATCTGAATGCATTGTGCAAAGTGAGTAACTCTACAGCAGCCTTAATGTCGCAGCATGTTTTGGCTCTATAGACAGTGAAAAGATAAATGTTGTTAACACACAGGTTTATCCTCTTCCCGCAGCGCAGCGCTAATGGCCGAGTTTGTCTCCTAAAACCCGCCAACAGGGAGTTTTCTGAGCCGCTGTGCTGCCTGGAGGCTCTCAGAGACAAGTCTCTGTCCCGGTGTGCCGTCTGAAGACCTGTCTGTCGACCAGAGACACACAAACACCCCGAAAACACCGAACAGACACTCACCGGACTGTAGCTGCTGTCAGGGACCGGAACCACGCTTTCACGTGACTGGGGGTAACACTGCGCATGTGTAGGACGGAGAGGGCGGAGCCTCTTTTAAAGGAGTATTACTTGAGTTTTATTATTTTATCATTTCAAGTTAAAATTAAACAAATTACATATAAATAACAGTGGAAATTAGCAATTTAACATTCATATTTATAATCTTCATTTATAATCTCATTATTATTGTTATTCATTTCACATGGATTGATAATTTAAAGTCATAATAAAAGTCATCTATAAAACAACATTTGCATTGTCAGAAATGGAGGCTGAAATTGTATTATGCTCTGTAGGACTTAAAGGAGACAGATAGTCAGATGTTTAGAAGGACCTGGCTGCAGACAACATGGCGGACATCAACCATGATCTTGTAGAAGTGGATGTGTGGATTAGTTTTAAAAAGTTTTTAAAAACTATTGGCTTTTTGTCTTTTAAAATATAAAACAGAATGTTGATTTGTCCCCAGAAAATGTTCTTTGCTGCTTTACTCGTTCATTCACTGTTTTTGTATATTCATTCACATATAATATGACCCTTCTATAGATATATATATCTAGACTATTCTGTTTCAACATGCACATACAATGCTGCAAAGTATAGTTTATGTATGAATGCACTGAACTGTATGTTCTACTGGATTTGCTTGTGTGTGCATCTTTCCAGCCAGATTATCCACAGTGAACTGATCTGTGTCATCATGTTATATAATTATTAGAGCTCTTTAGAGTGTGAGCTGATGGAAACCGAATTTTGAAATATTGTGTTTTAATACCACGTTTGAATTCAGTTTACACACGCTTTGTATCTCTGCATTCAATTTTATTCCCTCCCTTTAAACTTCACTTATGCTGCTCATGCAAAGATAATTCAAGCTATAATAAGAAATATGTCACAAAACAGGACACTCACAGAGGGAGTCTCATTCATAAATAATGGGCCTTTGGGATATCCAGGTGCAATTAGGATTTTCAGAAGTGGTTGGTATAAACATTTTGTTGTTGGATTTACTGCTATAACAGTGACACCTCTTGTAATATTAATGTGTACACTGTCGCGTTTTCTTTCTACTTATGTCTTAATGTTCCTGCAGACGTCCAAATGAAGCTTTTAAAACTGTGACAGGTGGAGAAACGCAGTCCATTCGAGCAGGTGTTTGAAGAGGTTTGGGGAGAAGGAACTGCTTTAGTTTGGTAATGCTGGTGAGAGTTATGAAACCTAAAAACACAAATAATTGAAGGAATGTATTGTTTCTTACTTACGTATAGGTAAACTTCACTGCAATCACAGTTTTACAATATCAGGTCTTACAAGCATAATTATGCAACATAGATTTGATCATATTTCATTCTACTATTCAGTACTCTCAGTTGTTGTCTGAATTGTTTCTTTATGCATGTCTTTATCAGCTTTATCATTTTGGTGGGAAATTAAACAATGAGAAAGAAAAAACTTTCCTAAACATTGGTTAAAATGTGTTTTTAATGGAATTTATCTATTAATAGATCCAATTGAAGGTGTGTAGAGTCATATATATAAAAACAGGCTCTGAGTTTACAGACGTCAACAGCATACTGTATATATATCACAATTGATATTAAACAGATTGGGGTTTTAAAGGTCATGTGTGACTTTGACAAAAATGAAATGTGCTCTGTAAATGTGAACAGAGACCGACTGCATCCATACTCTGTGTGGTATATTATTCCTAAAGGGCAGCCACTCACGAGCTCCCTCCAGCATTTAGCTCGCTCACTAACAAACTAAAGTGTCCTGTACGCTGAAAAAACTGTAACACAGACATGCCCCTCACCTGTAGTTTAAATAACTAACTTAACCATTTCTCTTGAGATTACATTTTTTACATTCGGAAACTTGACTTGCTACCCCCAACGACCCGATCCCAGATAAGTGGATGAAGATGAGAGAGATGAGACATTCGGAAACCTCTTCTACACCTTTTTTAGTGGAATAAACTGGAGCCAGCTGGGTGTTTGGACTCCCGAAGCTGTAACACCACTAAATATATAAACAGTACAATAAGAACACGGGACATGACCCGTAGTTTCCAGAGCCAGTGTGTCACCACCTCCACAACTGATATCACAATGTCACCCTCTTTCCATCTTTGCTATCGTGACCATCGTTCCTCGTTATCGTAAAAGGTCACTTCTCTGAATAATATAAACATTATTTACTTTAAAGACAACAATAGTGTCTGAGTAGTATTCAGTTGTCTGCAATCATCACTAGATGCCACAAAATCCTGCACACTGGCCCTTTAAGAGTTTTAGTCCCGAGCGTTCAGTCGATTAGCTAGCTCCTAAATTAAACCTGCAGCTATTTTTGCCACTAGGGGGCACAAGAGCTCTGAAACGAGCAGCTGCTAACGTGTTTTTGTGGTATTTACACATCCAGCATTTGTTGTTTGTAAAGTTCAACATGTAAATAAATAATCTGGGGGGTTAGAGGGTTTTTACAGTGCTATTGCACAAAAAAAATAAGAGCAGAGGAGAATCTGAGACGTTTCATGAGCTCACAGAAGCAGCCTGAGTGTGAGGAGAAGGGCTGGAGCTAATCTGTGTAAGCAGCAATATATCTGAGTGCAAGCGTACAGTTTGAGCAGAAACGTGAGGGTACAAGGAAAGCGTTACAAAATCTGAACATGAAATCAATTAGTCATACTCTCAAACTGAAAGACTTTTGAATTAAGCTGAAGCTTCACAGTCTCACTGCTGTTTTCTATTCTTCACTGTTATTCATAGTCTCATGTGTGAATGCAATGACAGGATTACTTCTGACTCATGTTTCTTTGTGTACTATGTGTACATACACCATATCTAACTACTGTAGTAAATGTAATTAGTTTCTCAGACTTTATAGATCTGACAATCCCCTTCTTGTGTTTCAACTGATCCCAGTTTGTTTGTTTGTTTGTTTGTTTGTATGAATTTCCCTTTTTGGTTTGAGGAAATGTGTTTTCAAAAGAAAGTTATTTTTTTACATACATTTAACAAAAATATGCAAATTCCACTTTCATCCGAACTAAACTTCTGTTATTCAATTCTGCTAATCTATTGAATATGACCAGAGATTAATCGATACACTGATCATTTAAAGTAGATAAACTAGATTTTTGTCAGCATACAATTTAAGGTGCTTTATTTACACACAACATTTTGTCTATGGAGTAAACACACTGTTTAAACAGTCTATTGTACAGTAGCCAGGATAAACATTAGTCCTGTTTTAGTATAACAAAGAGGTCTTAATGTTATCTGATCTGCTGCACTCACACAAGGTGACAGCGGCCTCTCCTTCACCTAAGATCATTGCCACTGCAGCGATTATCCAGCAGAATTCGGCCCGTAGGTCAAAGATCTGCTGTCACCACTTAAATAAAGGCCTGAGCGGCAAAGTGATGGACGCGTGTTATCTCCCTCATGATGATCTCAGCCTGCTGGTCATAACCTTGATGCATAGAAAACAAGGTCATACACATACATGCACACGAGCGTGTCATACGATATAGTACATTGTCAGACGCACTTAATACAGTAACATCCACACTTCTTATTTTGGTATGGAGAAAGACTAACAGTTATCTGCAAATTAAACAGGAGCAAAGCAGTTTCCTTCCCATTCTGAACACAAAAGGTATGCAGATTTCAATCAGTGTGACAGACACACACATACAGAGTAACAGAAACAACGTGCTGCCATCCCTTTTGATTCAGGACTTACGCTGACGCTCTTATCAGCAACAATTAACATTTAAGAAGCACGTTGCCACAAATCGCCATTTCATTAATTAGGACCGCAAGAAGCCTACATTACATGTAATCTTTCAATAACAAAGTAGCTACAGGGGACAGCATAATAATGAGGACTGGAAATTATTTTTTCAGAGGCTGAGGAAAATGAAAAGATAATGTAATGCAGAGAATAATGGATGGTTTTTAGCCGTGCTAGTGGCACAGCTCGCCAGTGTTGGTTGGTTGATTCACCACTTTGGCACAGAAATATCACCATGAAATTCTGTACAGACATTCCTTATGCCCAGATGATGAATCCTAAAGGTGGTCCTCTGACTTTCCCTCCAGCTATTGGATGGATTGTAATGTTTCCTGCAGGATGAATTCTAATAACTAAATTACTTTTTCTTTATCGCCATCATCAAAATCTCAATATGTTTTAATCTATTCTTTAGTTTATGACCAAATACCTGCAGAGCTACTGACATTCCCATCCGCCTCAGCTGTACCTTGTGTTAAGTGCTATTTAGCGAATATTAGCATGCTAACATGTTAAACTAAGATGGTTTACATTACCTGCTAAATATCAGCATGTTGGCATTTAGATCAAATCACTGCTGTGCCTAAGTACAGGTTGACCTTTCTATCATTTTTTAATGCATGACAGTCAAAGCTCTTGGTGGCTGTACACTAATTGCATTTTCCAGGACTGCTGACTTACTTTTACAAATCTGTGGGCTAGTTAACAATGGGAGTGCCGATTGTTGTGACAGCCCTTTATTCTGAAACCTCCAATAGTCCCAATGGACCAAAAACGTATTTGTCTGAAAATACACACTCTCCCTTGTTGCTCTTAATATTTTACTGTATTCGGATGTGCAGGAAAGGACAAAGTCAGGTGACCTTTGTGGTCATGGTAACAATAATAAACGGAAATGGTTACATTTTGGTAAAGAGATGATGTTTTCAGAACAACAGGTCTTTGGAACAAAGGGTTTGTTTATAACAGGCTGTTGGACAAATGGGCTTTCAG